GGTAAAGCCTGTGGTGAATTGACAAGGAAAGTGTACCTAGTTGTTCAAATCAGACAAAAAATCGATATCCTCCCATGCTCAGTGCCATGTATGTACAAGAGGACTTGGCAGTAGAAACTAAAGATGGGTAAGATGAAATCCCACAGTCCTCTGCAGTATTGTCCATGTGACTATAGTAAATAAAAACAACCTAGTGTTAGTCTCAAAATAACATAAGATAAGTATCACCAAGATGTTAAACATCATTCCATTTAATATAACAGATGTGATTTGATTTAGATATACATTGACTTTTAGTAAAGATTTCTAATCAGATTGCAGGACTCTACAGACCTAAATATTTCCTATTTTGTTAAACAGAACACATTGTCTGTCTTTCTATACTTTCCACCGTATGAATCCACCAGGCTTCTAAGAGGCCATTTATAACAACTGATAAAAACCATCAAGGCTGTATATCAGAAGTCGGCCATCTTGAGTGGTCTCCGTCCTGTGTTATGTCATCTCTATCATGTATAGCTAGGATATGAGGTTATGACAAATGTTACACCTTACAGGAACACAATATACCTCGAATTCTAAAACTCCCCTTCTTTAAGATAACTAGTGATCAGGAAGATATCCAAAGTCCATAACCATAGATTAGTCATGGACTGCCAACTACCAGTCATAAAAAATAACTGGATCCAGAGGTTAAGATATACGCGACATCAGGAATCACAGAAGAAAGCAATCAGAAACGATGTGCACACATTAGAAACAAACTAAACCAAAATAAGAAAGGTCTGAACCATAGTGTGAATCACTAGTAAATCTCTAAGAAGTAAATCAAACAACAAGACTACAAACAACATCGTCATAAACCTCATCTTCTGTTATTTTGTCTATCTGGTTGTAAGCTGTAACTGACAAATGTTGATCTTCACACCCTACAACTACCCTTTAAGATAAACTAGAGACACAGATTGTGAGAATATCGGAATAAATATAAGCTAGAAAGCTCACACCAGGGATCGCAAAACAAACAGCGCTGCATAGAGAAAGCTAAACTTGTCTCTAGAAAAAATATCTCAAGTAAAACCAAGCAACCTCAACAGATCAACATTGTCACTTAACACTTCTTCTGTTTGATTACCTCCTGTAGTCTGTCGATTATATACAAATCAGACAAAGTGGATGGTTTCTATAATGCAGTCTGGATTGTAAGAATGACGTTTTATAACGCCAATAAATTCATCTGGTATGTACATAGGCGTACGAGCTGGGGGGGCTGGGAGGGCGGGCGCCCCCCCCATTTTGGGCACCAAATGCTGGGAAAATTTGGGCACACAATTGTACTTTGTAAAATTTGTATAAAAAAAAAATATTGTGTTCTTGAATGTTTCCAATTTAACAGTGAATTTATTACTATTATGTAACATACTAAGAACCTAACTACATTTTATGGGCACCAACCACCACCGCCCCCCCCCCCCCCCAGTCAAAAATTTCCCTGTATGCCTATGGGTATGTAACATGTTGTATGGTAGTATAGTTAGTAAATCAGTATGTTACCAATAGTAACCTGTATACAAAATACAAAAACATTTACACCTGTTTCATCTTGTGACTGGAATAGAAACCTTCACTAAAAGTCAATGTATATTAGAATCAAATCAAATCTATTATTTTAAGTGGAATGGGGTTTAATGTCTTGTAGATATTTACTTAAGTCACTGAGAATAACACATGGTTATATTTTGTTCACTAGGAATTTGCATGAAATTTGAGGGAGGAGAATTTAGCCAAGTGGTGACATTTCCACTTACTCTTCAACTAATACCAACTGTCAAGATGGTCCATAATCAAAGCAAATCTTAAGCCTAAGTTAGTCACTTAACTATTAGATTTGACTTAAAGATGCATTCTGTAAGATTTAGACTAAGAGCTGACCGCTTTTGCCATAAAGATTCGAAATAGATAATTCAAAATTTAAATATTGAAAATTTTATTCAAATTACTTTATCACTGTTTGAAGTTTTGACAAGATTTGGCAAATATTGTTTATTACCGTAGCAATGTTACTCGAGACTCAGCCTTGCTTCTAAATTTTTAAATTAAATCATTAAATGGCGATCGCATTTCAATCGGTTTAAAGCTCTGCTATCCGATGGTCTAGGGAGTTGATTATAGGCTTGTCATGTGAATAAATGTCTTCATAATAATTTATATAACATTTGAAGCCAAAATAAAAACCTGCAATGGGCAGATTTAGTTCTTGAATAGTGCATCTTTAAATATGGTATATGTAACTTCCTGTGAGTTGAGGGTAAGTGGTAATCAAAAGCAATGTGACCTATGGGAGATCTTAAAGTTAAAGATACATTAGTTAAGAATTTAATAAAGAGTTGACCATTCTTGCTATAATAATTCAAAAATAGATGATAAAGAAAATATTGAAAATTTCAAGCAAATTACTTTATCTGAACGGAGTTGTCACCGTTGGAAGTTTGGACTAGAAATAGGCATCAACTGTGTCTGCACCGTCTACGAGAATTGCCGATCATTTGATTGACAGACGATAACTCCACCCACATATTCTCGATTATCAAGTAACATTCTCAATGGCAATGATACCCTCGCTTGGCAAGCCTTTCCTCACCAGTTTCCGGTACTGATGTCACCAAACGGTAAACGTTTGCTTGGTCAGCTATTTATTGATTTAATTTTAAATGGACGACCGTTTAAATCCAAGCTGTATCCAAGCCATCTGAGGGTCTACAGAGTAGATTTTGGGCTTGTCATGTAAATAAAGGTTTAATTGATAATTTCTATAACATCAACTGAAGCCTAAATAAATATTTACAATAGGCAGATTTAGTTCTTGCATAATGTATGTTTAAGTGATGTTGAAATGACTTGATTTAACTGGAGTAGTCAGTACACAATGTTGCAGCGATCCTATAAGCGCGATTGTAAAGGTATGGTGACTAGGATTGAAACAAAGATAATGTCACCGATCGTAGCTTGTCTGATTGTTTTTTTCATCACCAGCTTTGATATTGTCGTGGCATAATAATAGTACATAAGGTTACTACCAACGTGATATTTAAGGATATATTTTTTTCCCCCGATAATTTATCATGATCGTATCACTTATTCGTGTTTTCCACGGCTGTCATATAAAGAAGTTTGATGTGTTAAAGATACATTATGGGAGATTAGATAAAGAGTTGACTATAATAGTTAAAAAAAATAGATAACGTAAATAGAAGATGTTGAAAATTTCAGTCAAATTGCTCCACTACGAACCAGGATTACAGCTTTTGAATTTTAAGCCTATCCCTGATCATCATTATTAAAGTAATCATTTTTTTGATTAATCATCAATGAGCATTGAGCAGCAGATTGGATTTCAATCCAGTGAAGATGACATCCAGTGTTTATTATGGTTTGGATAAGTTAATTAATGTCTAACTGATAATTTATATAATATTTCAAGCCTAAAGAAAGACATGTAATAGGCAGATTTAGCTCTAGCATAATGTATGTTTAAATTATTGTTAAAAAATTGACAATGTGATGGCATTTCAGTGTAGATTTCAGCAGATTTCTATTTTATTACAACTCATTCCCTTATATACATATTTGTATTTAGCTGCGGATTAGCAGTAGTAGTTGTTTGCAACATGTCTTCATTTGTATATAAATTTACAAATATATGATGATGACTGCTGACCGATGCATGACACCAATGTTTTACATAGCTGCAGGTTGGCAGTAGTAGTTGTTTGCAACATGTCTTCATTTGTATATAAATTTACAAATATATGATGATGACTGCTGACCGATGCATGACACCAATGTTTTACATTGAATTACCTTTATCAATTATTGCATTTTAATTGGTAGTATTTATTTAGGTAAAAAACGACACATGCATCTTTCGTCCTTATTTAGTACACGTAATGTAGTCAACAAAGGGCCTTTGGGTTTTTAAAGTATAGGCGCCGAAAGAATTTTATGAATTTCCCAAATATTAAATTGATAAACAATACTGAATGAGTTATTCGGTTTAACTTAAAGCAAGAGGGCCTTGCGTATTGGTAAGAAGAAGATTTGGTCATCTATTCATAATACATTGTTAAAATAATAAAGTTTACAATATCTAACATTATACTACCATGATTCAATAACTGCAATTAAAATCTATCAAAATATTAAAATTAAAAAAGAAAACAACTGTTCATGAAATGCATAGGGTGTGTACTATCATTGTTAGTCATAATATGTTCATCACACTGATCAGCAGTGAATATTTGCTAGGCCGCTACAATCACTGATAAGGATGACATCGATGCAACATTTTTCCTCCGACAAATTAAATTCTCAAACATTTTTTTTAAGGTATTAGAAAAATAAATAAAGACGTTTGAAGTATTTGTAGGTAAAAATTATTTCCTATTTAGTGTAAATGGGTATTAGAATGAGTAAAATGCACCATTCTGCCAGAACCAAGAAGGTCTTATGTAAACAATGCACGCGTCATTGAGCCAATGATTGACGCCGCGTGATGTGACGTCACGTGTTGAAGACAGTCATCTTTTATGGAGATATTAGAAGACTTTCCTAAATCCTCTGTGAAACAGATTGTATGTTAATATGTTACAATATAACATTTTATTGAACATTTCTGTACCAGTGACATTAAGATTTTAATAGAGAAGTGGTGCTCTAAGGGGACAGAACTTGCCTTCGAAATTAGAAATTTATGATATTTGGCAGTATTGGGTATTCCGTAAGTTAGAAATTCATGCTTTTTGGCAATCGTGGGCATTCCATAAGTTATTTGTGAAGTTAAGTTTTTCACAGCCAAGAATACGGACTACAGAAAAACACACCTGGTCCCTGTCAGGTCTCGCTGTACATCTACAGATTAGGACAATTTATACAGAATTTCGCAATTAACACATTGCTGCAATAAAAAGGGGAGCGGGTTAGTTATTGATTTAAAAACTAACCTTGTTATTGCCAATCTATCATTTTCCAACCCAGGTTGCAAATAGGTTGAACCATCATACACCTGAAAAGATACCGGTACAAAAAAAATCAAAATTACATGTACTTGACCAGAATAATGCTGAAATTTACATTTGGAAATGTTAGTATTTATTAGAGGATTAATAGCAAACAGTGGGGGTAGCAACCAGCCTGCAACAATGGCATCCAAACAGTTTCCAACCACACATAAGACCTGTTGAGAACGGCAGCGCTTTTTTTTAAAGAATAATATTCACCTTTTTAATTACTAAATAATAAGGAATATTATAAACCATGGACTGGTTTAGATATTTCTGGCGTTGGTGATAAAATCAATCAGGACTTGCCTTTTAAGATTACCTGATCCATGATAAAAAACTGTCCCATCATCTTCACCCAGCAATATGGTCATCATCTCTACGACCTATATATACCCAATCATATCTCTGTCATTGATCTGTTAATCCAAAAGAACAAAAATATTTAAATTTTTGTCAACTAGCCCATATGAAATATCGCATGAAGTTTTTCAGAAATATTTTTATTTAACAAATTTATACTTTAAACATACAAACAAAATATAATATCTGGCGCCAACTTACCCTGCCCTACTGGCATTAACATAATGACTCTGACTTCATTACTACAAACATATATTGGTTCTAATCCAAGAAAAATATATATTGACCGGACATCAATTCATTTTTCAAAAGAATCATTTATTCATTTATAAGGGCAGCCCAGAATAAGATAAATATACAACGTACATGGACCTCTATCATTCACACATCAAACAACTTGTTTAAATAAAAACATCTTTCAGCAATGGCTGAATGAGGTAACTTGAAATCATGGCCCATGCTGAAATTAAGAACAGAATAATTTTGTATGCAACTCTCTTGTAAATATGTGCACGTTTTTCTGTGGTTTATCTTATTGATCTTGACTATATTTTTTTTTATATGAAATACTTTATCGGCTTGAAATGAATATAACACGTGAACAGCACTCCTCTAAGTGTGAACCAGCAGATGCCAGGCAGGATACACCCACATTTTGCAAGAGATGGATTGAGAACAAGCTAAAAACAAACGTGATTTTTTTGTACAATTGCAGGGGCAATAATCCAGAAAGTTATGGCCTGAAATGTGCAAATATCAAAAGGGACAGATCTTTCGGATATAAAGATTATGTTTTAAGTTTCATCAAAATCAGATAAGAAATGTGATCTCTAAAGGGTCCACACCTTCGTATTACACAAATCTACATAATTTGCGTACAAAGAGCGGCCATGTTGTCGGGCAGTTTCATTTCGATTTTCACGAAATTCGAATTCAACCTTCATTATGGTGGAATGATGATGTATTTAAATGGTTTTTAAAATCGGAAAAAAAATTGTGACCTCTATCGAGAATCCACAAGGTGAAAATGTGATTTTTTCGAACAATCAGGGGCCATAATCCAGGAAGTTAAGTTCGGTATCCGCGATTATCAAAAGGAACCAAGATCTTAGTGTGTAATGGTGATATATTTTTAAATCAGATAAACATTATGACCATCCCAAACTTAGGCTGCCTATCTACAGCTAGCTCCGGCTGAGAATAGGCCCTAAGCTAATTAACCGACATTTTAATTCCTACATCGACGATTTTAGTCGAAAACACTGAGTATGCTTTTAGAATTTTTAAAAGTATTTATTTCTCTTTTATTGTCATATTGAATGAAATTAAATATGTTTATTTAGCCGCTGTGTGTGTGAAAGATGTCAAACTAATCAAAGCCGAATCACAAAATAGTCCTCTAATTATTCAATATGGCGGCGCCCATGAAACATAATTTCACAGAGGCGGTTTTGTTTGCGAAAACAAATTTAGGAGTATCTAACCTTGTTTTGAAAGATAAACAGATTGAAACTCTAAAGACAGTTTACAATGGTAAAGAATTTATTGCAATATTACCCATAGCACATATTATATATTATCGCTTTTACGCGAGTGTCAGCGACATGGCGTGTTTACATAAAACACACGTGCTTGGGTTATTTTTACTCTGTTGTCTAAACAAAACGGTGTATAGTCGATAAGTCCCGCCCCAAAATGATCACGTGAACGTTTTAAATGGTGGGTAATCAGTGCAGTGTCACATTCTGGGAAGTATGACGTAGATGGGTCGCTGCGTGCAGTATGCATCATGACCTCTACAGGAACCACAAGCAAAAAACGCGATTTTTCGTACAATCAGGGGACATAATTCAGAAATTTACAATCCAATATGCGCAAATATTGAAAGGAACCATGATCGTTGGGTTATAAACATGCATTTCAAGTTTCATCAAAATCGGGTGAAAGTTAAAGTGACCTCCAGAGTGTCCACAAGCTAAAAGTGTGATTTTTGGTACAATCAGGGGCCATAATCCATGAAGTTATGGTCTGATACATGCCAATATCGAAAGGACCTGAGAACTGGCAAGAGATAGACCTATATTTCGAGTTTCGTCAAAATCAGATAAAAATTATGACCTGTAGAGTGTCGATCACAAATAAATAGTGAACGGACAGGGGCAACGACATAATACGCCCACATGAAAATGTGGGCGTATAAAAAAGGACGTTTAAATATATACTCAAACACTAGAAAAGCTCACCTGTAACTTATTATACTAGATTTTGCCTACTTCCAATCTCCATTACCATGGAATGAGATTATTCTCGAGACTAGAATGAAAAATTGGTTGAATTTGACATTGTCTATTAAAAACAGAAGATCAAACCCGATCAGTCACTTATTATATACTGTCTGTTTACTATGTAGAGAATTTGATGGGGCGATACAACGGGATAAAAACTGCGGCGCCTTCACACATTTTGTTTCAAGCCATGAAACAGAGAGTCTATTACTTTTTTTTCCTATTAATTGGTGCATGGGGACAATTTAAGAACGCGGGTGTTTGATTTTTTAAAAACAAATATTTTCTGTCTGTTATCCGGGTTTTCAAAATTTCTTTTATATCTGTGGGGCTAAATCAGGTAATGTTTACTGATAAACATTGTTGATTTTTTTCTCCGTGTTGTGCTAGAGGTTTTACTTCAAAGTCCATTATTATACTGCAGTGATTTTATTTATTTTTTTTTTTATTTTTTTAAAAAAAATACGAACACAAATTAACTTTGAAAAACTGGTACAACAAAATAGAAAATCAAAAATTTAGAATAAACATATAGGCCACAACAATACATATTTAATCAAAAATCTATTCCTACCTACCTAAAAAGAACAAGCTCCATTCTCTTCGTCAGCTAATTTAAAATTGAATTGTCCGTTTGTGAGTTGCCCAGTGACACAACGCAATAAAATTATTCACGCGCTTTGGCCTCTCGGTTACCCAGACGCTTACAGTGTATATCTCTTCCACAGTGCGTCTGGATAAAAGAATCATGATACTACTTTCTTCACAAAAAGTGATCTGTAATCTGTGGCTGGTTAAAACAATGAAAACTGTCGGTGATAGTTTGGGGTTTGTGACCTCACTTTATATCAATCAACTAAACACTTTTTTGGGGGAAACAATATTTTATTTCAAATAGATGAAAAGGATTGGAGAACAGGCATGGTCAATCACCTCTCTCCTCATACAAGGAATATAAAACATATAATAAATATATTTCACATAGCCCCCCCCCCCCCCGAAAAAAAAAATCGAATTAGCCCCCCCCCCCAATATTTTGCCAACAATAATGATTTCTTAGGAGCGTTCTTAGCCGTCCACATCCTCAGCCCCTCCAAAAAATTCCGTAGCCCCACCAAATTTTAAGAGCTGTCTACGGGCCCGGAACGACTATATAGTTCTTGCCATTTTTCTTGTCTCCAAACAGGATAGTTTTGATAAAAAGGGCATAAAACATTATACGAACAAACATAGGCCTTTATATGTAATAGGGTGTGTACAGAGATTGTTAAAGGCGGGGTTTTCAACTGTTGTGTGTAAAATGTGCTTTGTTGGAAATTTTGCCCGGAGAGCAATTGAATTCCATCTGTCAAGAGCTCTTTTACGTGTACGCCAACGTGTACACAGGACCTTGGATTTTTCTTCCAGTCCATTACCACGCTGGGAAATACCGGGATCGAACCGGTGACGGCCTGTTTAGGGATCCGGCTGATCGTTACCCACCTTGACTCCCCGCTTGGTAAATTTTGAGTTCAATCCTTATTTGGAGCGACTTGGGCTATAATTACACATTAACATACAGAAGTGGATATACGCCTACTGAATATCAACATTTAGCAATTTAAAATAAGTAGGCCTACACAATATTTTATATTCCAGGATCCAGAACAAAGATATTCGGAAGAATGAGAAGACCACGAACAGCTTTTAGCGCCAAACAACTGTCTGAACTTCAACGCAAATTTGGGGAAAACAGATATTTAACTGATCATAAAAGAAAAGAACTCGCAGAGGGACTGGAATTGAACGAATCGCAATAAATATGGTTTCAAAATCAAGAAATAAGCCATTTTGAATATATTATAGTATCATAAAGGTACCAGCTTCAACACATGTAGACTTTGTCACGAGCTTTATCTAGATCAGAAAACCAGGAACTGTTCCGAATGTGATGCTATACATTTTAGACCGAAGAGAACAATGATGGAAATAATAATATGACTATCTGGTTAAAGTTTTTGTTTCAAAATATTTCTTCAATTGTAACTGCAGAAGGACTGATTATTTTATTGTCATCTTTATATTAAAAACGAAATTTCAAACATTATATCGTATTCAAAAACACCATAGACTCGAAAATCCACGAACTGATATTTTTCAGTAAATGCTAAAACTCACTAAAATCCCTCCAAAAATGAGTAGTCTAGTCACAAGGGGGCAACTCGAAGTCAGATAGGTTCACTTGCCTCAAATTTTTTTCCTTGATATTCTTAGTAGTACCATTTCCCTTCTCTTGTCTGTTAAAGATACATTATGGGAGATTAGATAAAGAGCTGACAGTTCTCACTATAATAGTTAAAAACTAGATAATGTAAGGGGAATTTGCTGAAAACTTCAGTCCAGTAATTGATTCACTCTGAACCGAGAATTTAGCGATTGAATTTTGGGCCTAGCCTCGATCATTGTTACTAAAGTCGGTACGATAAAATACAAAGTCTCGATTATCCATTTCTTGATTTAATCATGAATGAGAGTTGAGCAACAGATCGGATCCCCATCCAGTAAATATCACAGGCTTTCGATGACGTCGAGAGTTGGTTATAGGCTAAAACTGCATACTTCCAGTGGCGGCGCCAAGGGGGGGGGGGTAAGGGGTTGGCCCTCTGTCTGCCCTATGGTCTGCCTTCTGTTTGCCCCCTCCCCCCAATAATTTTAGAAAATAAATAAAAAAAAGTATCTGTGATACGTTTCGGGTTTCTGTAATCAATACCTTCTACAGTGATTAAATGGTTACATCTCACTGTGCCCACTTTTGATTAATCCAATTAAGGTCTAATTAGGATTAGTGTATTAAGCGGATTAGGATTAGGTGTTATAGGTAATTAGATGGAAAAAAACAAATATTGAAAGTGACTAAATATTCAGTCTTATAATTGGTGAGATGAACTCACTGTAATCGTTAAAGTGATGAATTTTATTCAAAAAATGACACTTGAATATAATATGAATTATGTTCAGTAAGCCTACACATTACACGGTCTTTATAAGGACACACATAAGTCAGTCTGTCATATTAATTGGATTAATCAAAAGTGGGCACAGTGAGGACACACCGATTAAATCCCACATCGCCATTCAGTCATAGACTTGCATGTTGTAGAGTCTGAGTGATTTCTTACCAAGCCCATTCTGCTGTAAACCTACTATAAATAATACCACGTGAATCACTTCGGAAGTGCTTTTTACGATCTTCAAAGTTTTTGGGAATAGGTCAACGCTGCAAGAATATGCATACACTTGATACACTCACTCCATTCGTTTGACAAAACCCTCTCTATTCGGATAAGCTGGTGATTTGGCGACGAACAGTATCTGGTCAGCTCTATTGATCTCGACGACTATGCAGTGTCTGAAATGCTGCATTTCCGGCAGTCTATGTCACAAAATATCGTGGCGAAAATATTCATTCACTTTGAGTCACTCACTCCGTCCGTTTGACACTTTCCTGTCTGGTCGGATAAACTAGTGATTTGGCGACAGGCGGTATCTGGTAAGCTCTATTTATCTCGACGATCAATGCCTGAAATACTGCCAGACTGCATTTCCGACAGTCAATTTTTCAAAATTTTCGGCGGCTTCGTTGAGGTTAGCAAGTCCGTTCATTTGACACTTTCCTCTCTGGGGTCGGATAGACTAATGATCAGACGACAGACTGCATCTGATCAGCTCTATTTATCTCTACAATCGGTGCCTGAATACTGTCAGACAGCATTTCCGACAGTCTATATTTAAAATTCTCTTGGGGAGGTCCCTGGACTCGCTACTTTGGCGCTAACAAGGGGACTTCGTTGAGGTTCGCAAGTCCGTTCGTTTGACATTTTGTTCTCTGGTCGGATAAACTAGTGATCAGGCTACGGACGGTATCTGGTCAGATCTATTTATCAAGATGATCCGTGCGTGACTAAATACGGTCAGACAGCATTTCCCGCAGTCTATTTTTCAAAATTTTCTGAGGAAGGTCTCCCATTTGGCGCTCGTGATTGGGCTTTGTCACGGTTCGCAAGTCCGTTAGTTTGACACTTTACCTCAACGATCATTACATGAAATACTGCCAGGCTGCATTTCCGGCAGCCTGTTTTTCAAAATTGTCTTGAGGAGACCTCCCTACCCCTAGTTGAAGCTCGTGCCTTTGCCATAGGCGTACGAGCCAGGGGGACAGGGGGGGGGGGCAGCTGCCCCCCTAACTTTCGGGCAAGCTAACTTTTCGGGCAGACGGGTAAAGTGAAAAAAAAAATTATTTCATCTATACTTGGCAAAATAAAGTGCCCGAAATCTAATAAAACACTAATTTTACGGGCTGGAATAGCAGTAAAACGCGTTTGCGGCCGTCAAATATTCCAAAATTTTCATGGGGGTCCATACAAGGTCAGCTCCGCTTCTTCGCCTCTCGAAGAAAACCGGCGCCGCTGTCTGTAAACCTGAAATTTTTTCGGGCATTTCTAGTTTTGCTCCCCTATCTGTCATCATAGTCATCGAGCCCTAATAAAACACTAATTTTACTTTTATTTTAATTGAATACCACTTATTTGTACTGAGTTGACTATGGATTAAAACATTTTGTCTGGAGCCACTCTACTTTATAATACATTTTTCGGGCATCGAAATTTTGTGAATGCAGCTGCAACAGTCTGATTGGATGGTTGGAATTCAGAATGGGATTTCGGTTACAAAACCATTGGATACTTTTGGAGTTGCTTACACGGGCTAGAATAGCAGAAAACGCATTTGCGGTGGTTAAATTTTCAAATATTTCTCCGGGAGGGTGATGCCCCCATACCCCGCGACGATTGATTGGTTGTTTGGAATTCGGGTCAGTATAACCGTGCAGGTTATAGTAGTTATATGTTATAATTTAAATCTTGAATATTTAAGATAATGCATTATTAATTTTAAAAGTGAAAGCCTTCAGATTGAATTTATTTAAACTCTCGGGACAATAACTATTCCATTCCTTTAAAACATTAATTATAGGTGTGCTATTGAAAGGTGACTAGCCAATGATGAAATGTTATGTAATGCTAATGACATGTTAAATTATTATAATCCCATATTGTTTGTAAAACTTTTACAGACAGAAAGTAATTGTACTGTTAAAATAGCCGGTCTCGTGAACATGCCAATCGTATGATTAATCTATTAATTATTTTATTTACCATTGTTTTATTTCTTATATTGTACATTATTACATCAATGCTTATTTATGTCAACACTTGATCTAGCCAAGTGATTAGAAGTAATTCCATATAAATATGTGATTGTACTTGATACGTCAGTCATTTAGGTCTATCCGACTTAGTAGCATAAGGTACTAGTCGGTTATCCGCGGTCCTGTAAGTGTATGTAGATAATTGTTATTATAAGTTTCCAGTATTAAAGATTTGAAGAACCATTCCAGACTCTTGTAATATCTGACGGACCTCACGGTCACAATTGGTGCAGAAGCCTTGTGTGGTAAGATTCCAGCCTCTTACAAGCCAAAGCGAGTACCCCAAGAATTAAGAAGATGGAACAAATTATACCACGAAAATTAGAAGAAATAATCAAAGTGATGGATTTGAATACAGAGGCACATCAATGGAAAATCGAAAATGGAGGTAACAACATTTCTATAATTCTGACTTGGCGAAAGGTCTCTGGTCAAAACGGAGTGAAGAAATCGGCCAGCAGAAGAGCACGAGATGCCATGAGATCTCAAAAATTTAAAGAAAGATGTGCCGTAAACGAAAGCACTAAAATTCCATATGTTGACATTGTATCTCCTGCAGTTAGTGAATTTGCCAAGGCAGTTACCAAGCCATCAACATTAGATAGTGAATGTCAAACCGTTACAAAATGCTCTCGTGACAAAAGCGTTTTAGCTTTTCCGACAGTATATACTAAAAGTTGTCAGACTGTCGAACTGTTAAATTCCGTAACGAAAAGCGAATGTGCGCCTTCCAAATCGAACACAGATTCTCAGAGTATCAGGGAAGTCATGCAGAAACGACTAAACAAGGGACAGCTAGAATACCAAGTGAAACAAACGGAATGGATTCAGGAAAGCCATTTGGATGAAACGGATATTTCGTATATAGGAATCCATAAAAACAAAATTCCTGGACCCGTACCAGAAGTGGTTAGAAATGTAGTTCGCGAAAGCTATCCATTATTACCAGAGGAACAAGATCAAATGGCGTGTAGCAGACTTAGTGATTTTGAAGGTCACCGAGATGGAAGAAGATGGAAAGTGTGCGCACGCTACTGTGATCCAAAAACCGATATATAATATTATCTGTCAGAAAGACGTGTTTTTCTGGACGATTATAGTCTCCAGTATACGTATCAGTGGGAGTGGATTGATAAAATATTCAAGGAAGACCCAGAATTCTACGACGATTTTATCCCATTTCTTGATGATATACCCGAACAGAACATGTGGTAGTTAGATCTGTACAATTTTAGTCCAGTGTTAAATGATGTTCCCACGTTTCAGTTTATAAAATTTATTTGTTGATCAATATAATACGAGGACGTATTAGAAATTAGCGAGCGAGGAGAATATATAACCGTGCAGGTTATAGTAGTTATATGTTATAATTTAAATCTTGAATATTTAAGATAATGCATTATTAATTTTAAAAGTGAAAGCCTTCAGATTGAATTTATTTAAACTCTCGGGACAATAACTATTCCATTCCTTTAAAACATTAATTATAGGTGTGCTATTGAAAGGTGACTAGCCAATGATGAAATGTTATGTAATGCTAATGACATGTTAAATTATTATAATCCCATATTGTTTGTAAAACTTTTACAGACAGAAAGTAATTGTACTGTTAAAATAGCCGGTCTCGTGAACATGCCAATCGTATGATTAATCTATTAATTGTTTTATTTACCATTGTTTTATTTCTTATATTGTACATTATTACATCAATGCTTATTTATGTCAACACTTGATCTAGCCAAGTGATTAGAAGTAATTCCATATAAATATGTGATTGTACTTGATACGTCAGTCATTTAGGTCTATCCGACTTAGTAGCATAAGGTACTAGTCGGTTATCCGCGGTCCTGTAAGTGTATGTAGATAATTGTTATTATAAGTTTCCAGTATTAAAGATTTGAAGAACCATTCCAGACTCTTGTAATATCTGACGGACCTCACGGTCACATCAGCCAGGCAGGCTATATTGGACCAAATTAAGTTGCTGTATTCACAGGCTGGAATAGCCGGAAAACGCGTTTGCGGAAGTTAAATTTTCAAAATTTTCTCCCAACGGTCCCGTCTCCGTGGACTGTAAACGATTGATCTTTTGATTGGAATTCGAGTCAGCCATCTTAATTAGCCTATATATAAGACCACTTCGAAGTTGCTTTGTTCATGGGCTGAAATGGCAGAAAAACGTGTTTGCAGCCGTCAAATATTCCAAAATTATCTTGGGGGGGGAGGGGGATCCACACAAGGTAAGCTCCGATTCTTCGCCTCTCGAGGAAGACCGCACCGCTGTCTGTAAACTCTAAATTTTTTCGGGCATTTCGGGTTCCTGCCCCCCTAACTGTCATCGAGCCCGTACGCCTATGGCCTTTGCCCCCTTAACCTTGGACTTTGCCCCAGCTTTGCCCCTCCAACCACCGACGGCTGGCGCCGCCACTGTGATTTGATCGGCTTCTGCCATAGACTGGACCGAGGAAATGGGAATCAGACACGTCGGAGCTGAGGTAGTTTTTGTTTGCCAAAGGCTTTTGGAATGTCAGCAGACTGATTGACATGGAGCATCTTATTGATTGCAGTGAAATAAACATTAAACAAATTATATTTTTGATATTTATTTCACACAGATATAATTTGTCTGGTATTTGTATCCATGATAAAGACTGTTTAATTTTATTAAGAAATGGTTTAATAACATCTGACAAAATTCAACAGTTACAATTCATGTAACTGACACATTGGTTAACAAGCGAAATGTTTTGGGTTTATTTTTGATTACGAGTATTGTTAATCAGTTTCTAATTTGGTGCATCATACCTATTAGAAAATGAAGCAGTACTCAGAATAACACTGACAGGTAAAGTCGCGCCATTTCAAATTATTATGCAGTTTTGTTGGAAATCGACCAGGGATCATGAAAATTTAACTATTTATTGGTGATAAAAATAAACTGTGGTAAGACTGTTTCCCCTTGTCTGTCTTTTGTGGTAATTCTTTCTTTTTGCCCCCCCCCCACCTTTAGCATGCCCACTTTTGTTGACTTTTTTCTAGAATCGTAGAATAGTGTTTGAATTTACATTTTCTAGCAGATTTCTTTGAATATTCGTGATTTTAATGCGGAAGGATCAAGAGCTAAACACACACAAATTAAGGAAAATGACGAAGTAACTGCCTTAAATATATTTGTCTGTAAAAGTTCAAAAAGTTGTTTTTAAAAAATAAGAAATGACATGGATTTAATTAGCACTAATAGAGTTATTTCCCTTTTAGACGGTTTAAGAGACAAGAAATTGCTGGGGGGGGGGGGGGCAATGAAATTGATTTTTGTGGTCTCTCCCAAGACTTCGCTGTTTGACTTGATACTGGGTTGGGCGAGGTACGGTACTTTATTGTTTTAGTTATAAAAAAGACACCCCTCGATCTAGACATTTTTGCAAGAAAAATTTTATACATGCATAATTACTAGAATGTCCATTGTATGAAAATTTACGTACCGTTTACATATACCCAACATTTACGGATAATTATCTACCCTATTCTCTAGAAAATCTATTTAACCCACCAAAAACAGTTTCAAAATCAGTTAGTGCTTTTGAATTTCATGCAATGAATCTAAGAACATAAATTGTGTAGCGCTACATGTACATGTATCACTACATATACCTTTCTGTATCAAAATTATTATCTAGATTTCCATGTATTGATATATTTTATTCCACGTTTTATTAATCGATTCATGTAATGCTTCTAGCATTCCTATATCATATTTCCATGTCAAAACCTATACTAAGTCTTTCTGTTATTTATGTATTTATTATATTTATACACATCCATCATGCTTGTGTTGAAAGTCGTGTCATTATCAGACCAGTTTGTGGTAAATATGTATTCTGAGATGATTATCATACTGTTTGTCCTGTTAGTAAATGTGTAATTATGTAAAATTATCATTTGTCTTGTTTGTAAATACATGTATATATCTATTATCTGTTATACTATATCTTTATATACATGTTCATATTGTATGCCGTCCTTAATGGATGTCTTGATACAATAAAATCTTATCTATCTTATCTTATCTTAATGTATAACCATAAAGTTGACCAAAGCAGTAGGGCCAAATAAAGCTTGTATCCTGGCTGAAAAGTCACTGGAACCCATGCATGAACAGTGAACAGGAGGCATATTCCGGAAGTCACACTTACACGCTTACACAAATGTCAGTATACTTGCATTTATCTGGCACAAAACTTGTGTAAGTATATAGTAATGATTTATGCCATTGATAATATCAGTTATTTTGTTGAAGAGCACACAGTACGAATGTTGTGAAATGAGACCCTTATGAAAACTGGTAACCAAATAGATACATAACTGGTGGTGGGTTTTTTTTACTGGAGTTCCATATAAGGAACCGAGTTAAACATTTTAATTGAAAAGTAATAGTTTGTTATTTTTGGGCTTAGAAGCTTATATTATATTATTATCTGTAATATCTGTGGATGAAATAGGTTTACTTGTGTGTGGTCTGAATCCGAAATGGTTTATCATTACCCCCCCTTCCAACTCACCTCTTCATATTAGAGATCAAGAAGATTGATATTGGGCAATATGGCTACTCCAGGACTTCCTCCGTTACCCCCAGCACTAAAAGCTATTCAACACTATTTAAAAACAGCAACAGAACATGAACAACGCGATCAAGTCGTGGCATATTATTGTAAGAACTATACTTATAATCTTTTTCTTGTATTCATTTGCATTTTCAGTGATTATTTCGTTAAAGTAGCTATCATCCAAAGTCTTCGACATTTAAAACACGAATTATTTGACTTTTCAATTTAAATCAACATTGATGTTGTGATCTTACTGGGAAAAGATGGACTTCTGATATCCAATTTTTAAGACAAAATAAACATTTTACCAGCGCCATTTGTAACACGGGACTCGAAGATCGAGGCTAGACATATTCCACAAGTCATGTCAAATGGTGACACCATATAAATATTCTTTAATCTTATCTGGAGAGCATGCGCAATAAATACTATCGGTGTAGACTGAAATAACAAGACGCTAAAAATTGCCATTCGATTGAGACTTTTGGCCAAACATAACTGATTTGAAATTAGGGTAAAAACAGAAACGACTGAATGTAAATCAGTTTATATACATAACACATTCATATTACATTACAATATGCGTTGCGACCCATTTGTGTCAATTTCTAGATCCCAAATTTAAATATTAGCGACATAGCTATCACTATAGCTATCTTCTGATGATTTTTTTTTTTTTTTTTAAACAATATTTTATTGAATATTAGGATTAGGAAACAGGCAAAGCCTATATAATCCCTCTCCCATGATGCAAGCGACAATTTCTTTTGTTTGTTGACAAAAAAAACCAAAAACAATATGGCTATTTATACTGACCCCTAACAATCTGAGTAAAACACATTTCCTATTTCGATTCATTTTTATTGTTCAAAATTTCGTTTTACTTGTCTTTAGGATCTCGAAGAGTTGTTATATAAGGCCGCGGTAAATTAATTGTTTGTTTCTCATGACCCGCCCGCATGTCTGTTTTCATCCGTAATAATTACGCACTTCCATAATTATTTGGTCAAATTTAGTGAGGTCCAAAATTTGTCCATTAAAACTATATTTGTTTGCCTTTAAATATGAACAATGAATTGACGCATTAAACTCCACTATTTATCGATGAACATGACACTGTAAGTGATAAGTAAAGTAGGCTAGAATGTGAAAAAATGCACAGAGTCCATCCGTAAAACCGGAAGTGATAAAGCCGTATAATATCTGTCATCCATACGGTATACCAAGGAATGGTAGCTACAACATTCACCAAAGACCACATATATACTCTATAAGGCACTTGTCATTTGTAATAAAATTCACAGAAAGATATAAATGTCTTTTAATTCCTGCTAAATTATTTTATTTACGTGACTAGCAACCAAAGGTCCCGGAACTGTAGCCATGAGATAGCCTCGATCATGACATGAGATATCGACTGGTTGACACTGCTTCACGCCTTTCACGATATTTCTATTAACAACACTATATAAACAGTCTCAAAAGGACACAAAGATACAAATAAATGTAATCAGTTTAATTAAGATAGACAAAATAATAAAAGTATTTATATTATCATGATGCCATGTGCCGATGATGGGTTCAAAGTTGAAGCGTAAACATACGGGCTATTGCCATAGCATTGGTACTATCTTCCTTCACGGCTAGAGAAACGACCACATGTGTAGTAAATTCTTTAACTGGCCTGTTAAATAATCTAACTTATTTTGTATTTAAAAATCCAAGGGTATGCTTTTAATTATTTATGTCAGAACAAATCATCAACCAGTTTGGAACAGGTCATTTCGTAGCCTATCAATGTAAGGACGGATAAAGAAATGAAATGCCACGAATAAATGAATTAACGAACCATTAACTTAGAAGCGTATCACTAATAATTTAGACCTATTACATGTATTATGATCAAGTCTTCCGATGCCCAGCTATTGTGCAACCGATATTTTAATCTATAAAAATATTTAATAAATGTGAATAAATTGCGGACACTGGTTAACATTGGTTTTTCAACAACCAAGTAACTGACATTAGTTATTGCTGAAATAGAAACAGCATTTAAGCTAAAAAAAAAGTTAAATTTCATCTCAATGATTACCGCATGTAGCGTGTATATTTCACAAACTCAGGTCATGAGAAACTGACAATTAATTAACCGCGGCCTCACCTGTGTTCTGGTTGATGTGAGGGATTAACCAATAAAACGGTCTGTTGCGGCAAGTTCTTGGCATGCAATGCACGGAACTGTGGGTATCCTACTAGAAACATAAACACTGATTGGTTAATCAAATGCCTGACGTCAAAAGCCGCTCGTATGACCCATGACTTGACCTCCCACTACAACTGGTTAGATCTTCATAAAGTAGAGGACATCGAAAGTATAAAAAAACGAAACGAAATATATAGATCTGTATTTTAATCAGAGTCACCCGTAATCCAATATTGGTGGGCTATTTTTATGGCACTTCCCATCGACAGTTGCGCATGCGCATTGAGAAAATGTTGAACTTTGAGAATTTTATTCCCATAAGTGCCTTAGGCAAACCAAGTTCGGCACTTCCTATTTGTTTATTGAGGCCGAAAGACCCTCAAAACTATCAAACTTCCGACCAACAGCCAGATCAGGCATTTTCTGGAATATGGAAAACCAAGTGCGCATGCCTACTGATAAGGTTATTATAGACGTCATATATGTCATAGGGATTACGGGTCCGTAAAAGTTCAACATTTTCCTGATGCGCATGCGCAACGGGAAATGCCATAAAAATAACCTACCATTATTAGATTACGGGTCCGTAAAAATAGCCATTTTGAAAAAAATAAAGAGGAACCAACGAACACAAGCCGACAGTAAACAGGTTCCCTCCACAAGCTATTTTCCATCCCATAATCAATTCCAAGCTATGCAATCATACTTTTGTACAGGAAAATAACAAATACAGTAGAATCTGTTAATTCAACAGCCACTCCATGTTCCTGAAGCAACGACCAAGAGTATTACAACATCTAGACATCTCCCTTTACCTCAGACGTGTGAACAGTAGCATTCAATCAGAGGTTGTGACACAAACACACTCAAATCAAATATGGCGACCTCCATGGAAACATTGACATTGAACGAACCTTGAACTTTGCCACTTGATTATCACAGGTAGACATTTTGGCTGGAAAGCGCGAGACTTGGTATTCGTGATGATCAAGGAATGTGATAGGCTTTCAGATTGGGTCAGTACCCAATTGAAATTAGTGCCGAAATATGTGGGGTATTACGTTAAGGGCTTGATAAGATGTACGGAATTAAAGTGAGATCAAGCTTTCTATTGAAGGTGCAGCCACTCAAGCTGTCTCAAGGAAGTTCTCATGACAGGCCACATTTAATGGGAGTGACCTCTTAATAAAATCTCAGTGTTTGTTAGTGCTGACATCAAGTAAAATTTAACACTTTGATGCATTGAGAGCGAACATTGATACTTGCATCGGTAAATTTGGCAGTCACTAAAACCCGCTTTTGGAACAAAAATTCTGACTCAAATCCCTGATATAAATTCTGTAAACAGGGTCATTTTGTACCAACATTAATATTACCAGTACTGCCTACCTTTGTTATGTATTCGATAATATTTATCCATTTTTGTGAAGAAAATCCAATAATTTTTTTTTTTAAAAGCTATCGCTGAAATTGTCAGAGATTTTCAGGGGGTGTAACTACCTATGTACATGTAATATAGGGGACACTAAAACTTACGTTATGAAAACAAAGCGGCAATGGAAAATAGATACTAACTAGATGATTGTGACAAAACTCAGCTTTGTCTGTACATTCAATCAATATCAAACAATGTTTTGTTATGTGTGAAGACAATTATCAGGGTTTGTAATTTAATAAAAAAACAAAAGATTAATAAACAGATAATCCCTAATTGATTGTTATTTTCACGGTTCTTTTTACCTTATCGGTGGGGAGTCCGATAATTAATTAACTGTTATTCATGGGATTGGCGGAGGCGCTTCGACAGGATGGTGTCAACAGTGGCCATTGAATTAGCAATGTTTTGATAAATTTATAACTAAAACAGTGACCGCTGGCCACTTAAGAGGAGTGATCATTTACCGGTATTAATGAGATGAAACCAAAGAATTTCAATTGGGTGAATTTATTGTGACCGCTTACAAGGAGACGTCGCTGATATGGAGTGGCTGCTCATACAGATTTTACTGTAATATGATAGTTATCAAGACAAACATTCTGTACCATACCTGTTTCTCTTTCATTTTCTCCAATATCAACGCTGTTCGGCCCAAAAATTATTACTTGCCTGTTCACTAGGATCATTATACTTTGTAAGAATACCCACTTAAAAATATGAAATGATGATAAAATAAATTCAAAGATTACACCATTAAAGGAGCTAAATCGGTAATATTTGGGACCTAGAAATTGACACAAATGGGTCGCAACGCATATAATGTGTAATATGAATGCATATAAACTGATTTACATTGAATCGTTTCTGTTTTTACTCTAATTTCAAATCAGTTATATTCGGCGAAATACGCCAGAAATCTCAATCGAATGGCAATCTCTAGCATCTGGTTATTCCAGTCGATATAGTATTTATTAAGCATGCTTTTCAGATAAGAATGACGTCACGGTTTGACATGACTTGTGGAATATGTCTAGCCTCATTCTTCGAGTCCCTATTTACAAATGGGACTGAAACACATTATTGTACACGATTCTTGTACCAATAGTAAAATGTTTATTTTGTCTTAAATATTGGATATCAGAAGCCGATCTTTTTCCGGTAAGATCACAACATCAATGTTGATTTAAATTGACAAATAATTTGTGTTTTCAATGTTGAAGACTTTGGATGATATTGAGTTAGAGACTTAGCTACTTTAAACCTCTATAGAATTTTTTTGACTAATCTTGAATCTATGTACGTTACATGTATGTGTAGAAAAGTTTAAAATAGTAAATTAACTTTAAAAAAATCTAATTTTGTATATGCATTTTTGTTATATTCTAGGTCAGTTATATGCAATGCAAAAAGGGATGACCATTGACAGAAAGTCACCAGATTGTAAACATTTTCTGGTGTCCTTGATGGATTTACTTGAAAAGGTACTTGATTTTTTTTCAACTTTTAAGACCATATTTTGTTACATATTTTATGCAGTCCACTAAAAATGCCCTCTGTATAAATTAAATTTTAAATAGGTTTTTTCTTATAAAAAGCTGTTTTTATAAAAAGCTCAACTCTGGTGATAGTCATGTCATTGAATCTTTGCTTTAAAAAGCATATTATGAATAAATTTGTTACTTTATCCTTTCAGAAAAAACAACAGTTAATAGATAACGAAGCTGTACATAATGAAATGGTTGGTCAAGCTCATGTGGAGAATTATGCTCTAAAAGTTTTCCTATTTGCTGATAATGAAGATAGGGCTGGGCGATTTAGCAAGTTAGTATCACCCAGGTTTTCGTTACTAAATGTGTGAACATTTTAAATGCCATCATGGGTCAATGAGCAATGAGTTGCCTTATTTTTACCACTCATGCTTACATATTCAGTTTGATTTTACTGATTTGTGACTATCTAATTCATTCTATAGAAGCAACATGTATAGACTTGTTTTAATTGTATTTCTGAAAAGGGGAAGGGGAGTACGATTTTAAATCTTAAAATAGTTGGTTGTTTTTCTTTTTAATTTCAGAAATGTTGTGAAATCTTTTTATACAGCAGGCATGCTATTTGATGTACTTACAAATTTTGGAGAGCTTTCTGATGATGTATGTCTTTTTACTTGATTTTATTGAGAACTACCCAAAATGATTTATTCTTGTGTTTTTTAAGTCACCCCTGTCTGTCCGTCCATCGGTCCATCCACCATTGTTTGTGGATACTCTATAGGTCACAATTCTTATCCGATTTTGACGAAACTTGAAGTATAGGTTTATCTCCAAATGATCTCGGTTCCTTTCGATATTGGCATGTATCGGATCGAAATTTCATGGATTATGGCCCCTGATTGTACGAAAAATCACCTTTTTAGCTTGTGGACACTCTAGAGGTCACAATTTTCATCTGATTTTGATGAAACTTGAAATGCATGTGGGCGTATCTTGCCTGGCAGCTGCTGGTTTGTTTACAAATAATATATTTTTTGTGACCCTTATTATAAACAATAATAAACTCTTTTAAAGAGTTTTATTTCGATTTGAATGAACATGTTAATATACAACTGTTATTGAATGAAGATAATAAAGTGGTAAATTTTAATGCAGGTTGAGAAAAACAGAAAATATGCCAAATGGAAGGCAGCTTATATTCATCGTTGTTTAAAGAATGGTGAAACACCAACTCCAGGTCCTTTACCAGAAGAAGGGGATGATGGTAAGTTTAGTTTGTTTTTCTACCCCCGTAGAAAGGTCCTGGACATTAAATTAAGTGTAACATGCTTAAGTTTTTCAACAGCTCACTTAATGCAGAACAGTAGGAAATTAAATCCCGGTTTTATTTCAGTTTATTTTTTAGAAGAGTCATCTTACTCATATTATTATAAATTTGTTGTTATTATACGCCCACATTTTCATGTGGACATATTATGCGGTCGCCCCTGTTGGTCTGTCCGTCCACAATTTGTTTGTGGACACTCTACAGGTCACAATTTTTATCCGATTTCAACGAAACTTGAAATATAGGTCTATCTTCCTAAGATCTTGGTTCCTTTCGATACTGGCATATATCGGACCTTAACTTCATCGATTGTGGCCCCTGATTGTACTAAAAATCGCGTCTTTAGCTTGTGGACACTCTAGAGGTCACAATTTTGATCCGATTTTGATGAAACTTGAAATGCATGTTTATAACCCAAAGATCTTGGTCGAAAAATCGCATTTTTAGCTTGTGGATTCTCTAGAGGTCACAATTTTTTTTTCCGATTTTAAAAACCGTTTAGATCACCATTCCAACATAATGAAGGTTGAATTGGAATTTCGCGAAAATAGAAATGAAACTGTCTGGCAAAATGGCTGCTCTTTGTATGCAAATTGTATATAAGTATGTAATTCAAAGGAAATGAAATGAAATGGGGTTTAACGTCCTACTGTTCTGCTCCTATACTGGGCTAATGAAGACGGGCATACGCCATACAGTGTGCTATGAGGGAAATTTTGCCTGGGCAGCGGCACTATCGCCTACTCTTATATCGAATTCCAACTGCCAAGGGATCTTTTATGTGCATTCCAATGTAAACACGGGACCTCAGGGTTTTTTTTCGTATCATCCGAAAGACTGGACAGCTGTCCTTGTCAGGCCCTCCGTTCTGCACCACTGACAAGGGGAAACCATGCCGTAAAATCCTGATGAACTTTCTCGGCCAATGCATAATTCAAAGGTTATGGACCCTCTAGAGGTCACAATTTTTATCCAATTTTTATACGCCCACATTGAAATGTGGTCGTATATTGTCGGCGCCTCCATCCGTCGATCCGGCGTCCACAATTGCTTGTGGATGCTCTAGAGGCCAAAGTTAATATCCGATTGACTTTACACAGTGTTTTAGGTCATGAGTCGAAGAAGCCTATTGATTTTCAGCGATTTCGAATAATTACTGCCAGAATTATGGCCCTTGATTACTTTGAAAAATCTTGTGGATGCTCTAGAGGTCAAAGTTAATATTCGATTGACCTTAAATTTATACACAGTGCTTAAGGTCATGAGACGAAGAATCCTATTGATTTTCAGCGATTTCCGATAATTACTGCCAGAGTTATGACCCTTGATCACTTTGAAAAATCTTTTGGACACACTAGAGGCCAAAGTTAATATCCGATTGACTTTAAATTTATACACCGTGTTTAAGGTCATGAGACGAAGAAGCCCATTGATTTTCAGTGATTTCCGATAATTACTGTCAGAGTTGTGGCCCTTGATCACTTTGAAAAATCCTGTGGACGCTCTAGGTCAAAGTTAATGTCCGATTGACCGTAAATTTATACACAGTGTTTAAGGTCATGAGAGGAAGAATCCTATTGATTTTCAGCAATTTCTGATAATTACTGCCAGAATTATGGCCCTTGATCACTTTGAAAAATCTTGTGGATGCTCTAGAGGTCAAAGTTAATATCTGATTGACCTTAAATTTATACACAGTGCTTGAGATCATGAGACGAAGAAGCCTATTGATTTTCAGCGATTTTTGATAATTACTGCCAGAGTTATGGCCCTTGATCACTTTGAAAAATCTATTGGACGCTCTAGAGGCCAAAGTTAATATCCGATTGCCTTTAAATTTATACACAGTGTTTAAGGTCATGAGACGAAGAAGCCTATTGATTTTCAGCGATTTCCGATAATTACTGTCAAAGTTATGACCCTTGATCACTTTGTGACGCTCTAAAGGCTAAAGTTATCATCCGATTGACTTCAGATTGATACAGAGTTTAAGATCTTGGGACGAACAAGTATATTGATTTTCAATGAATTTTTATACGCCCACATGGAAATGTGGTCGTATATTGTCGTCGCCCCTGGCCGTCTGTCCGTCCGTCCATCGTCCACAATTTCTTGTGAACACTCTACAGACTACATTTATCATCTGATTGTTTTGAAATTGATATATGTTGTTTGCATTAGTGAGATGAAGAAGCCTATTTAATTTCAATAACTTCCGTTAATGTCTTCTGGAGTTATGGCCCTTGTTTCACTTTGTTGCACCTTGTGAACGCTCTAACGACAAAAGTTATCAACCGATCTGTATGAAATTTATATGCATCATTTAAATTAGTAAAACAAAAAAGCCTTTTGAATTTCCGCAATTTCCGTTAATTAGATCTAGAGTTATGGCCCTTGTTTCACTTTGTTGAATGTTGTGAACCCTCTAATGACAACCTTTATCATCCGATCTGTTTGAAATTGATATGCATCATTTAAGTTAGTGAAACGAAAAAGCCTATTGAATTTCAGCAATTTCCATTAATTATGCTGTGAGTTATGGCCCTTGTTTCACTTTATTGTACCTTGTGAATGTTCTAATGACAAAAGTTATTATCCGATCTGTATGAAATTTATATGTATCGTTTAAATTAGAAAAACGAACAAGCCTATTGAGTTTCAGCAAATTTCCGTTGATTACATCTAGAGTTATGGCCCTTGTTTAGCCTTGTTGAATCTTGTAAACGCTTGAATGACAAAAGTTATCACTTAATCTGTATGAAATTCATATGCATCATTTAAATTAGTGAAATGAAGAAGCCTATTGAATGTCAGCAATTTCCGTCAATTACCAGTCCTTCACGTTTATAAAATTGTGCGGAAGCCATAAAAAGCTCCCGATATCTTGAATATATGCAATTTAAAAGTAAACAAAAACTGAAAGTAGTTTATTAATCTCAATATTTAGGAGAGCGATTTAGCTAATTTGCAGGAGTCTTTAAACGTGAAGGACTGAATTACTTCTAGAGTTATAACCCTTGTTTTACTTAGATGAACTTTGTGAACGTTTGAACAACAAAAGTTATCATCCGATCTGTATGAAATTTATATGCATTATTTGAATTATTAAAATGAAAAAGCCTGTCGAATTTCAACAATTTCTGTAGATTACTTCCAGAGTTCCGGCCCTTGTTTTAGTTTTCAGAACCTTGTGAACCCTCAAACGATGAAAATTATAATGTCATCTGTATGAAATTGTCTATTAAATTCCCCTAATTACCTACAAAAGAATAAATATGCGACAACCCTTGTCGACTGCTCGGACGATTTAGCTGCTGTGGGCGTATGTTTTGTTGCCTGGCAACCTATCTTTCATTATCAAGTCAATATATATTTTATAGAACTATTCTATGAGTTATTTGGTTTTAATAATTCATGTGATTTATTAGATAAATATATTCTTTAGCATCAGGTGGTTCAAATTATGATGATCATGTGCCACAACAGGGAGGTGGCATGATGCCACAATCCGGGCCATCTGCATCTGGTGGTTTGAATTTACCTGGACCATCACAGTATCCTATGGATGGTAGTATGTATAATCCTGGTGCTGGATCGTACGCTCCTCCAACTACTCCACAAGAAGTACCTAGAGCTGTTCATGCACCTGTTAATCCACCTATTCAACCTAATGTCAATTCACAATGGGCACCTCCACCTAACCCAGGTAAACACTTCAGTAAAATCAACAATTACTTAAAAATAGTATATTCACCCAAACAATCACCCACATCTTCTGTCTTGTGAGGTATCAATATGTTTCTTAAAAAGACATATTATGTCCTTATTCCTGTCTATCTAGATCTATTTGGCTAATTCTAAGTGAGAAGATATTTGAACCCACCAAAAAAAACCCAAATGGTTTTTGAAAATTACCCAAAAAAGACTTTGTCTGTGAAGAAAAACAGCTTTATGGATTTGAAAATACTGTTTTAAGTTATTAGCTACAAAGGAATATACTTTTTTCAGCTGGTGTGGAGTTGAATGCAACACAGTACCAAAAGGCTATGAAGTTATGTAAATATGCCAGCAGTGCTCTACAGTATGAAGATTCTAAAACGGCTATAGACAACCTTAGCAAAGCATTAAAATTACTAACAACAGGTTCTGAGTGATTGATAAGTTGTTAAAAGAGATATAAAAACTGTGATACAAAAGTCAACGGTATACTTTCTTCTAGTAGAGGAGACTTGTTCTTTTTTAAAAATATATTCAATAGTTTGACTGGGTAACAATTGAAACTCAATATGGCCATTTTATTTATGGATGAAACAAACAGTAAATTTAAAACTTAGTTCATATCATAATTGTCTTTCAATTTTCAGTCATTGAAAAATTATGAAGTTTGTAAAGCATATTTATTCAATCTTTCATTACTGGTAATATAAATAACTGATATCTTATAATGATAAACAGAAATTACAGATTGACTGTATTACATTTTATACTTCTGATTGAAAAAAAAAAATTGTCTAATATTTATAGTATTATTATTATCAGAACTGAAGAAATGCATGTGTTATATTACTGCACATACAATAGGCCTATTAATTCAAAGTATCTATGTTGAAAAAATCTTGAATCTCTGCTGTATCCTTTGTCAAATATTAACAGCAATTCTTTGTTAGACAAACAGAAAAATTATTCAGTGTACAGTATAAAAAACCAACCCTACTTGTTAAACTAAAAATCAGACAATCTGTATTATTTTTAATGAATACTAATATATTTATTATTAAAATCTGTATGTTCAAATTTAGAATTGGTGAAAATTGTGTAATTTTTGGTTGGATACACCTGTATGAATGAATGCTGTAATCATCCTTGGTATCCCCAGTGGTATATTTATCAATGATATCACTGGGGATATTGAGGGTGTTATATAATATTCTTATTCATCTTTCTCAGAAGGGAGCTGTTAACTTTTAAGGCAGCAGTCAACTATAATTTAAGAGTTATGTTTGCTATATGTTTCAGTGCCTATCCTAATTATTCACATTCTGATTATAAATCACACTTAATCTGTATCCTGTTATTCCAATTATTGTTACATCTGTATATCTATTGAGGCAAACTAATGCATTGGTTAAATTATAAATGGATGGGCTAACAATATGGCTGAGAATATGTAATACCGTAGAGATAGTTATATATTGCATTCACTTGACCATGTTTATATTTAGGATTTAGATCAGACAAATATCAAACAACTCCTAGGCAGTTTGAATTTACAGATCATTAAAGATATATTATGGGAGATTAGATAAAGAACTGGCAGTTCTCACTATAATAGTTAAAAACTAGATATTGTAAAGGGAATTTGCTGAAAATTTCATTCAAATTGATCCACTCTGAACCGAGAATTTAGCGATTGAACTTTGGACCTAGCCTTGATCATCATTACTAAAGTTGGTACGATAAGATACATAGTCTCGTTTATCCATTTCTTGATTTAATCATGAATGAGCATAATCGAGTACATATCGCAGGCTGGCGATGACATCGAGAGTTGGTTATGGTCTGGATAAGTTAATTAATGTCAAATGGAAAGACCTGCAGTAGGCAGATTTAGCTCTTGCATAATGTATGTTTAAATTATATATCTTGCAATTAGATAAATCAGCCAAATCGGTGGTCGTTAAATGACCTCTGAAATATTTTGAATATTAACTCGTTAGAATAAACTGGATGGAGGCAAACCACCATATATATAGCAATTCTCTCTCTCCAATTTCTCCCCTTTTGAATGGCAATTTTTGTTGAATTTTGGGTCTAGAATTAAAGAGAGTTTGAATTCACATTTTCTGCTAGGGTTTGGTCAATATTCATGGTTTAGAGGTTGAAGGGTAACCAAGTTCATATATACAGCAGATATATATAATATGCTACTTCAAGTATGTGTAACTCAAAATTTCAGTGGTCAACCCTATACACTTTTGAGCAAAGACAATTCCATTCATTGCTATGTCTGTAGTGGAGAGACTTCAGCCCAACAAAAATTTGGGCAATAGTTAGAGCCGGGCAAAGAGACCAGAATTGCCATTAAATTTAATGAGGAAATTAATGGTGGTCTGCCTCCAGATGTATAATTATAGTTATCTCCCTTTGTTCCTAGTTATTTTATAATAGTACTGTCAGCTTTGATAAATGTTTTTATACTATTTTGTTATTGATATGTCACTGTTTGTTTTTGTATTATTAAGATGTAAATATATGAAATATTAATATACTGATGTTATATTGCAGATACGCTTTCCTGGATATTTCTTACAGCCTTCAAACTGACAAGGATCAGACCGAAAAAACAAAAGGTACAGAATGAACATAAGCTATTCCTAGAATTCTATTAATCTTGCATGGAATATTAAATAACATCCTTGTTTTATAGATAATCAATACAAGTAGCAGGTACAAGTAAGAAAGAAAACTTGTTGTAATTTGTGAGTGTGAAAATAGTGTTATCCATTAAGTTTTTCTATTATGTTAGAATCTATACAATAATGATTTTATGTTGAATGTATAGTTAATCAGTTAATGTACATTATTGGTCAATATATATATATACATATATATATGTATTTAAAAAATACATTATTAACATCTAATTTTATTGTTTGTGCTTATTATACAAATATCATGGCAAGGGGAAGTCAGCATTTTGTCGAGATTTCCCATATTAGTTGCGTTAGGGCTTTTCACTTAAATTTGAAAAATTAAATTATGAAACAAATTAGACAGTATGTATTTTGTAATTTAATCTAAGTAATGGTAAAATTTAAATCACCAAGTTCTTGTACCCGTTTTTGTTCGAAGGATCCCATGCAGACAACAAGGTGTTTTCTACAGGCCAATGGTCGGGAAACTATGCTCTAGATGCTACCCCACACTATGATTATTTCTATCTCTACAGTAAGGCGAGTTGTATTCAGGCCTACATCTATCTCTTCCTCTGTGAAACATACATGTATCTTAATATTGATATGAATTCTATTTGGGACTTTACTGGTCTGTATTTCAATGACAAACTGAACAAGCCATCGCTGAAGCTGATGTCCGGCCAATTGAAAAAGTGATTAATATAGATAACACAAAATTTTTAATTACATATTTATCTTTTAATAAAGCATCGATAATTTTGCTTATCAGTGCCCAATGTGAGCATTCTCACTCAATTAGTATCAAAGTTGTCGAGCTCAAAAGTCTCGACCAATCAAATTGCTCATCAATGAACTTAGTCATGGTAATGATGTACTGAAACTATACTCTGAGTTTGATGTAATGAAACTATACACCAAGTTTCACCATTCTCAATCAATTAGAATCAAAGTTTAATGTCCCAAAACAGCCAGGCAGGAATTGTTCATTATTGAACTTAGTCAAGGTACTGATGTAATGAAACTATAGCTAATGCGCATTATTGAACTTAGTCCAGGTATTGATGTAATGATATACAGCAAGTCTCACTCAATTAGAATCAAAGTTGTAGAGTTCCAAAGTCTCGACCAATTTAATTGCCTATCACTCAGCTTAACCTGAGCCGAAAATGCTCATTATCGAAATTAGTCAAGGCATTTTAACTCAATTTTGCACCATTCCGGGCAGTTGCTGCAATGGAATTAATGCCGACCACGGTTTATGGTAGGTCTAGACGTATATTATTATCACCCCCAAAAAAAGTTAGTCCGATATCCGTACCCAAATGGTTCAAATTGGCAAAAATCCAAAATGGCCGCCAGTTTTGACTGGAAAATGCCAATTTTTATCCACTTATTATAATATTATCGAGTTTTGTATCAAAATATGTCCTTTCGGGGTAGCTGAATCAATTTTGGTCTTCCTACATTTAATTGAAGGCCCTAGGACGCCCTTGGATCATTGTCGGACTTAGTCTATATATAACACTGTCACAATTTTTTCCTCATTTGTAAAAGTATGCTTGATAACGACCAGTGAATACTTGTCGATATAGTGATTGTTATCCATAGAACTGTGTTGTGTTATATTATGTTCAATCGCTAAATGCCATTCAAAGATTATAAGTTTTACTCTGTCCTAAATTCTCTGCCATTAAAATTGATATATCCGATCCTTATTGAACTTAGGCCAGGGATCTTAATTGGGTCATTATTCTCAGCCTCCAATACCCTTTATCTCTCCATCATTTTCGGAATGATGGTGGGCAGTTCATTATCAAATGGTTCACTGCATATCTGACAAAGAGGCGATACTGTATCCATCTGTCTCAACATTTGAATCATTTTGTGAAATAAATTTGCCACGTATGGAAATGGATTCAGTTACCCCGAAAACGTATATTTTGATACCAAACTGGATTATGTTATGATAATTGGGTGGAAATCGGAATTTACAAGCCAAAACCAGCGGCCGTTTGGGATTTTGGTCAATTTGACCCATTTGGGCACGGATTTCGGACTGTGACTTTTTGGGGGGATGATATTATACTTCTAGTCCGACCATAAACCGTGGTCAGCATTTCTATTGCAGCTACTTCTCACACTTATGCTATCTTGCCTGGACTATTTAATAGTTCCCTGCTTTCTTCGAAGGATATGGTGGCTGATTAGTATCATGTCGTTATGTCACACGACATCACAACATTTTAACCCGACATCACTACATTTTAACCCAATACGACATTTTCACCCAACTACACGACATTAAAAATGTATTGTCGCTTAAAAATGTACTGGCCGGTTAAAATGTCGTGATGCCGGGTTGTCTGCCATGCTCCTCTCAATAAGAAACACTGATCCTGGTGTTGGTCAAGGCAGTTCCCCGGGATTTCGCAGCATGGTTTCTTCCTGTCGGTAGTGCAGGATGGAGGACCATGTCTAGCTGTGTAGATGGGGCAAAAACACAAGCTCCCGTGTACACATTGGCGTGCACATAAAGAACCCTTCACATTTGGATTTCGATGAAGAAATGCCGCTGTCCATAGACAATTTCTGTCATCTATGCATTCAGTTTGAATCAATATTGATTTTATTATCTATTCGTGAAATTATGAGATCCTAATATCCAGTATTTAGCTAAGACACAGTGAACATTTTAAAATCAGTACACGGGTTGTGTACTCTCTGGTTTCGGGCGCCATTTGTATAGAACAAAAAAACAAACCATATACTAAGACAATGGGGAAGTAATTAGTAATGGCTGATTAACAAACGACAAAATAACAATAAAAGAACTTAGAATGGACTAAACAGTCGTAAACGACTGTCGTTCAATTTGGATTATTCACGTATTTCACCGAACATAATTGATTAGAAATGACAATAATTTTTCGAAAAATTGAATGGAAATCACTTTATATACACTCATATTACAATAATATTATGCATTTAGACCATTTTTATACGCCCACATTTTCATGTGGACGTATATTGTCGTCGCCCCTGTCCGTCCGGACGTCCGTATGTCTGTCCGTCCGTCCGTCAGTCCATCCACAATTGTTTGTGGACTCTCTACAGGTCACAATTCTTATCCGATTTTGACGAAACTTGAAATATAGGTTTATCCCCAAAAGATCTCGGTTCCTTCGATATTTGCGCATATCGAATCGTAATTTCCTGAATTATGGCCCTTGATTGTAGGAAAAATCACTTTCTTTTTAGCTTGTTCTCTATTCATCTCTCGAAAATGTGGGCGTATCCTGCCTGGCAGCCGCTGGTTATTGATTCTTACAATTTACTTGTGATTTAGAGGGGTTTTTTTTATACAGGTGGAATCACATAATTGATTTTCTTTCAAGATGAATGTACTCCTGTTTCGTTATATTGTAAACGCGTAATCACTTTTAGACTGAATTGTAAACTATCCCAATGTTTATTCAAGCAACCCATTGCGTAGGTTTAGAAAGATACATCTTTAAGGCAAGGCTTGTACACCTGTCACTTAAAGTATGATAAATTGAGAGTAGTTATTAATTTATAATTTTTAAATAATCTATTGTTGCCAAGGGCGTCAAGATTATCTGACACGCATTCTTTCTACAGGGCGAGGTGGTTAATTAAATCAGCAACTATAACAGTTAATATCGCACATGCTGTTCAAGTTTTTATAGAGGAAATCTGAGTTTCGGAACTTTTTTAAATTGATGAAAATTTTGATGGAAACGCAATGGTTTTATTAGAAATGGTTCCACTACTGATGTCTTCCGCCTTACTCCAGCCACAGTAGTGGCTCGTCCTACAGAGTTCCTTTGCGCAATTTTTTAGTGAAATGACTACAAAAAGGTTACTGGCGTATAGCTCCCTTAATTTACACATAAACTGACCCAAAACAGTACTGCACGTATGTGTTGACAATTGTGCGTTTGAACCTATTTGAACTTGCGTAAGGAGTCTTAGACTGTATCAATTGTAACTTTAAACACACAGTTTAACGTTACAAGTATAGTAACTATGGTTTTATGTAAAGAAACAATATTGTTATAATTCATTGCTTACTCTAACCAGGAGCACTCGGGTTCGCTCCCGGTGTTCATTCGGATTTTCGGCGCAGTTTTCCCAGTGATGCTGGACGAGGGGCTTTGCAAGGACAGTGTCTAGTCGTTCAAATGGGACTGAAAATCGGGGGTTTGTGTACACATTGGTCTGCACTCAAAAGAACCATTGACAGTTGGAATTCGAAATATAAGTTATAAGGCTGTAATCCGGGCAAAATTTTCACCATAGCCCAACGTATGGCATAAGCTCGTATATTTAGCATGGCACGTACTGTGCTACAAGCTCTCACTCTCTCAAATAAACCATTTAAAACCGGTAATTCGTCAGTTTGTTGATACTGGACAGTAAGTGGTGTTAACGGGAGGTGAACAATAAGCATTATTGGAAAATATTGCGAAAATCAGAACTGAAACTATATTATATAGTTCGTTCGATTAAAGGCTGATTATAGACTCTTTGTTAATCTGTTTTTAGAAATGAAAATCTGTCTTAGTTAAAATAATCTGTCTATGGTAAAATGAATGTTTAGATATAACTATACTATTTTGTTGCCAACAGTTTCCGTTGGAGTCAGACCATATTACCCTCTATTAAACTTCATAAACTTCTACTAAACGGAAAATGTAACAGTGCAGAAACTGACTAACCAAACATACCTCCTTACTTCATGAACACGCCCTGAAATCTTTCTATAATTACCCAACAACGTCTAGCTTCTTAAGATTCCAAAGTCCTAAGATAACTACAGATCTTTCTGAACTTGCTGTCGGAAATTTAAACAAAACCGGTTCAGAATAAACTGTTTGATAAAATACTCTCATTGTTACCAGTAGGCCTACATCCACGTCGCTGTTATAAATTGACATGTACCTACTGATTATTCTAAATCTGAAAGGATAAATGCTTTAATACTTTTAATCCAAATTAATACCTAAATGCAGTTTTCGAGTTTCTCATGTTTTTAGATTGACAAGGTTATATGCCGCTGGCATGTCTTCCAATAACTAAAAGTTTAGAGTTAGTCAACTTCCTGATTTTAGTATGTCTGCATGTTTAGTGATTTGATTGATAGGGATGAAGTTAAATGAATCATGACTAAATTAAATCCAATTAGCAGATGTACAGAGGATATTTGACATATCAGACATCGGCTATCAGTGATGTACTAACAACATTTTATAAAAACGAGGATACTATGGATCAAAGAATGTGGAACCATTCTTCTCTTGGAGTAAACTTTATATTGTTTAGCTTTATATTCCTTACTATATTCACAGGTTAGTAAACACATACAAAACTTCTTTTTTTTTCCTTTTTTGTTTGAGTGAAGCGACCGGGACTGTACAACGCAATGGACGCTTAGGATCTATTCACTTGATTTGCTATTTGTTGTTCATTTCTTGCAATGTCCGTTTTGTTTGTCTTCTCCTCCTGCACTTACTGTTACATGTCGTATAAATGAAGTTTTATTTTTATCTTTTGGGTTTTTTTTAAAACTGTAGGACGGATTCTTCCCGAATGACTACATTATACTTTCCAAACAAAGTTGGTGACTTATTACTGTCATTTAACTAAATTTCCTCTCTATTATTTGGGGAGTGGGGGGGGGCGAATGGTTAGCGCGTGCGCGTTGTATCATTGAGTCCACTGGTGTGGTTTCGGTTCCCCGGTTGTACAAGACAAGGAGTAGGGTTCCCTTGTCCAACCTCGTGGGTTTTCTCAGAGTTCCCCGGTTTCATCCCACTGCTAAAGACCCCTACGCGCAAGTGAATTATTGAAATAAAATCGAACCATATGTTAGTACCAAAATGACCTAGTTTTTGTCGAGTGGACGTTAATCTCTCTCTCTCTCTCTCTCTCTCTCTCTCTTATTTGATGTGCTTTTACGATTTGTTGTCTCTTCTTTCCTATTTATAGGTTTGCGTTGCTTTATTTTGGAGAAAACCGTTAGTGCCTGTAACGGACCGTGTGCGTCTGTCAACTTAAAATGTCCTGGAAAACATAAAATAGCTATCAGGGAAGCCTTATTTGGTGTTCATCCTTTAGGTCCAATTTGTCCAACAGGCACAGACTGTGAACGAGCCCAGAGTGATATATGTTGTGAGAAGACACCTAGTTCAGATTGTATGATACCCTATCCCGTTGACCGGTTAGAACCACTTCATAAACGTTGTTCAGGAAAGCACACGGTAAATATAAATTTAAACAATCTGTTTTAGAATTATGGCCATAGACTAAATCAACAGATCTCTATTTCAATACAAATAGCACAGGGTCCTTTCTCACAATACCTAGGTAAAGTTATGTTAAAATGTTTTACATGCGCTTTGTGAAACCGGATCCTGATATACTGAATTACCTTTCTCGGTTGTAAATAGTACTTTGTATTATTTATAATATGAGTAATTGACGCTAAATCATCCCCCCCCAACACACACCTACAATATTTTAAAGGGGAGTGTCCCTTAATCTTTTGTTTAATAATCAAATATCAATGAATTAAACAAGATAATAATTTAACAGTATTAACTTAAAAGTAATTTATAACAGTGATGCATGCGGTGCAAATTACTGAACCATTTACTTTAAACGAGGTGGGCAACTCCACCAATATGGTTACGGATCAAATATACATTTTGTAGGTTCAAAGATGTTGAACAAAGTTGTTTTATCGTGTATGGTGGCTGATAGTGGCCATATTAAATCTCGCCCTATTCATAACCGACATCACGACAGTATTGACGCAATCACACGACACTTTATTCTGTCGTAACATCGAGATGGCGACAAAAATATAGCTGTGGATACTTATTACATCATATAAGTAGCAGATTAGAAAAATATAAATAAGACTCGTGCAAAAGAGATAACAGGAAAACGTTGATAATTATTTGTTTGCTCAAAATAATGAAACATTTTGCTTCCAGAAGTGAATTATATTTGGTATTATATTCAAAAAATCTAGAATCACAATAGTAGGACCAAAGTGAGTTAGCTATGTAAATTCTTTGAATAAAAAGTGGTGCCTGGAGGTATCGACCCAGTAAGCATACATTGCCTCGTATGCAACACCCACCGATACTTATAGATGACTGGAGCGATAGTTTAGAAGGGATTTCAGAAGATTTCACATTTGTTTTATTACAGGATGGGAAGGGAATTGTAGAAAGCCTCAAATCGGGTCACAATCTTTAAAATCGCCGCATTGGTGTGGAACGCCACCCCAATAGTTGAAGGAGAGGTTTGGTTTTTTTTCATGAGGTGCGGAAAACGATTCGCAGCTGTTATTGGCCTTATCGCATATTGATCCATTTGGCATCACTAATGGGATCGAGGCCTAGATGATTAAAAATAGGCTCAGTATTGCCTTCAACTATGAACACACACCAGTCATCTATAAGTATTGGTGATTCTAGATTTTTTGAATATAATACCAAATATAATTCACTTTTTGGACGCAAGATGTTTCATTATTTTGAGAAAACAAACAATTAATCAACGTTTTCCTTTTATATCTTTTGCACGAGTCTTATTTATATTTATCTAATCTACTACTTAGGTAAGGTTTTCGAGAAGTGTATTTATAAGTTTTTTTATAGCTTTGTTCTCATTCATGATATATTAGGCTGTCAGAATTAGGCCTGCATCTCACGTTTGTGGCAGAAATGTACGGTGGCTGATAAGGGACATGAAAAATAATATAATTTGTTTATTCACCCAAGTCAATTTTAATATAATTTGTTTTTTATAATTTTCACCCAAGTCAATTTTAATTTTCACCCAAGTCAATTTTAATTTCCACCCAAGTCATTTGTAATTTAATTTGTTTTTTATAATTTTCACCCAAGTCAATTTTAATTTCCACCCAAGTCAATTTTAATTTTTACCCAAGTCATTTGCAATATAATTTCAATTCTGTTGAATTTTTACCCAGCGCGTGATGTCATCTCAATTAGCCTCGTTTCCAAAACACTAATTTTCGCCTGCCATTGGGAAAAAAAACGTGCAGGGGTCGACACAATCTTAGTCGGGATCTGACAGTGATACGTATTGAAATAAAATGAAATGAGGGTTTAACGTCCTACTCCGACTGGGTTACTGAATACAGTATGCCAGAAGGGAAATGTTCCTCTGTCAGCGGCACGACATGAAATTTCAACTGTCAAGAGTTATTTTATATGCTCGCCAATGTACTAGGGGCCTGGGTATTGATATAAGCATGCACCCATAATAGACAACGCTACCGAACATCCAGACATAGAATTTAGCGCAGTTTGTTGGAAAGAGATAACAAAAAACAACTTGGCCTATGTGCACTAATGAATGATGGGTCACACGCATGGCTCTTGACCTTACTACTGGAAACAAACACAGATAGCTTTGCCATGAAATCAAAGGGCCTCTTTTCTTACAGGACACAGAGGGTCTCTTTTCTTGGATTTGGGGCACTTCAACTGGATTTGGTGTTTTCCTTTCAGTTTAATTTTTGGATATTTTCAAATAAAAAGTTTATTACACTTTCCAATATAGGCCTATTTATATAGCAAATCTCCCCAGGGAAGTTCTCGCAAGATACTTGAATCGATATTTAGGTGCGTAACATCCACTCGACACAAATTAGGTCATTTCTGGACTATAACTCATTCATTTCAATAGTCAGTTTGTGTGTAGTGGTCTTTAGTAATGGAAGGAAACTGGAGTACTGGACGAACAACCCTACTCCTTGCCACGTACGAGCGGGAAATCGAAACCACGCCACTTGAATTGTGATGTAATGCACACACGTTAACTATTCGCCCCCCCCCCCTTTCAATTCTGAACATTTAATGAAAGTCAAGATTTCTTCCCTTTGATTTAGAGATCTTGTGATAATTTCAGTCCATAAAGTATAAATCAAATGTAATTACAGGCCTCATTTCTGGCTCTGATACGTTGACAGGCCTGCTTGTGTTCACCTAAAAAGTCATCATGTTATAATATCAAAAATCTTTATTACACTAGTAATGGCTTTTCTGGTGACATATATAATTTAAACAAGAACTAATAATAAAAGTATGAGAAAAATAAATATTTGATATAAAGTAAATCATAATCTATTACAATCTGATACATGTAATTACAGAATGAGAAAAATATCTCTTTAATATAAGGTAAAACATAATATATTGCAGTATGAGAACCAGCGGTTGCCAGGCAAGATATGCCCATATTTTGCAAGAGGTGGATTGAGAACAAGCAATAAAAAAAAGCTATTTTTCATACAATCAGGGGCCATAATCCATGAAGTTATGGTCTGTAATGCGCGAATATCGACATGGACTGAGATATTTGGGATATATATTTTAAGTTTCATCAAAGTTTGCGTCCAACCTCGTGGGGTTTCTCCGGGTCCTCCGGTGTCCTCCCACTGCTAAAGACACCTACGCGCAAGCGAATTATTGAAATAAAATTAAATCATATGTTAGTTCCGAAATGACATAGTTTGTGTCGAGTGGACGTTAAACCCCATTTCTCTCTCTCTCTCTCTCTCTCTCTCTCTCTCTCTCAAAGTTTGCGTACGAGGGGCGACCATTTTGTCCGGCAGTTTCGATCAGATTTTCAGAAAATTCGAACTCAATCATCATTAGGGCGTAACGGTGATATATTCAAACGTTTTTAAATCGGATACAAATTGTGACCTCTAGAGGGACCACAAGCCAATATCGAAAGGAACCTAGATCTTTTGGAGATAAACCTATATTTCAAGTCTCTTCAAAATCGGATAAGAATTGTGACCTGTATAGTGTCCACAAACAAATTATGGATGGACGTCCGGACGGACAGGGGTGACGACAATATACGTCCATATGAAAATGTGGGCGTATAAAAATATCTATTTGATATACGGTAAAACATAATACATTGCAATCTGCTAATTACAGTATGAGAACCATATAAGATAAAACATAATACATTACATTGGAAACGAGGCTAATTGAGATGACGTCACGTGCTGGGTGGAAATTCAACAGAATTGAAATTATATTACAAATGACTTGGGTGAAAATTAAAACTGACTTGGGTGGAAATTATAAAAAACAAATTATATTAAAATTGACTTGGGTGGTAATTAAAATTGACTTGGGTGGAAATTAAAATTGACTTGGGTGAAAATTATAAAAATCAAATTATATTAAAATTGACTTGGGTGAAAATTATAAAAAAAACAAATTATATTAAAATTGACTTGGGTGAAAATTATAAAAAACAAATTATATTAAAATTGACTTCGGAGAAAATTAAAATTGACTTGGGGGAAAATTATAAAAAAACAAATTATATTATTTTTCATGTCCCTTATCAGCCACCGTAGAAATGTGCAAACTAAGCTTTCTCGGTTTTAAATGATAGATTGCACCCAGTAGTGTTACAGAAAAAAACGACCAATCAATTGGCCCAAGGGATTTTTTTTAGAGGCCTCGATGTTTTCCGACGGTCGAATTGGAAGGGTACCAGCCAACTCACTGATTTACCTGGTATCAGACCTGCGTTGTTTTCTTTAGTTTCGTGGAAAATTCGAAATAGAAAGAACGGAAATGGCAACTTCAGATAATTCAGAGAAAAAATGCGTCATTTGTGGTGAAGGGGAGGATAGGGGGAACTATCTCGTGTTCTGTCCATCATGACTGTAGACATAAGTTTAGGCATTTTAACTCAATTTCCCACCATTCCGGACAGTTGCTGCAATAGAAATGCCGACCACGGTTTATGCTTGATCTACACATATATTATCACCAAAATAAAGTCCCAGTCCGAAATCCATGTCCAAATGGGTCAAATTGGCAAAAATCCAAAATATGATCGAGTTTGGTATCAAAATATATCCTTTCGGGATAGCTGAATCCATTTCCATACACATTTTGGTGATTAGTCATACCGCGGAGTCAATATTGGGAAATAATTCCAGAGGCGGTCAGTTTTGGCGGAAGAATTCGAATTTTACAAAATGCCCACATTTGGTGTCAAAATATACGTTTTGGAGGCAGCTGATTCCATTATCGAAACATTTTCTCATCTTGGTAATTAACTAGGTCAAAATATGTGGAAATCCCATTGGAGATTTGGGGATTAAGAGTAGTCGAGTCTGCCTCAGATCCAATACTATGGCATTCATCAAGCATCAGCTAAATTTCATTTAGACACTTCAAAT